CACAGCCCCTGGCACCTGCTATGCTGCTATCAACCTGGCAAATGTGTTCTTTCTCATCTCAGTCAATAGGCAAAAAGAGAAGCAGTTTGCATTTACCTGGAAAGAATAGAGTGTATCTTTACATCTTACTCTCAGAGCTATGTCAGCTGTCCTGCTCTTGTCCTAGAGGTTTGCACATCTCAATTCCCACAAAACATCATGCCTTTCCATTATATTGGTTACCTTATTTATACTATCACATGCGGTGAGCAGAAAATAACTACTCCCTGGATAACTTAATAGGCCAAATGCACACCAGAAGGAGGGAGATAAACTTTGCAAAATGTTGTGTCTGCCACATAGTAAAGCTTACAGACATTTTGGGATCTCTTTTCTAAAGTGAGAGATAAGTTGCCGTACCTTGCATCATCTAAGTTGAAGACACACAATACTTAGAGGGCTTTCTGGATTTGGGAGGTAAAATATGCCAAATTTGGGCATGCTGCTCAAACCCATTTATTAGGTAATCTAATAAGGCTACCAGGCTCAAGTTATACATGGTATGAGAAAGAACATGGTAGTAGGTCCACATGTGGTCAAGTTGCTCTGCCACTTGGACTTTATGGCCCAGCAGTCCCAACAGTATTGGATGCATCATTTCAATATAAAATAGATGTGGAATATATGAGAGTGGGTCTGAGAAGGTCCAGAAGGCCAGGGTAAGCTGCACCAGCAGGTGGCTCAGACTCCTTCAACTCCTACTTGTGCTGCATTGGCTACTCTTCATCTCCATACTTTTGGCTTCATAGGGAGTCCCCTTTGACAAGTTAACAGAGGGAGAATATATTGGGTGTAACGCCCCATGGATTTGCACAGAATGCTGGCACCATCCAAAAATGGAGTCACTAGATTACAATCTCTCAATTGGCCCAGAGAATGGACAAAGTATATCCTCCCAGTGAGCACAACTGGATGTGGTACATCTGGTTTTCCACTTCATATAGGAAGGGAAATAGCTTGAGATATGGATCTTTACGAGTGTGGGCAGTAGCTAATAGGTTCAGCTAATCAGGGACTTGGAAAGAATTAAATAGGAAAATTGGTGATTAGGTCTGGGGAGAGGTATACTCCGAATGGGCACAGAGTTATATTTATGTCCTCCTGAATGCCCTCCAAAGGGCTTTATATGAGGCAGAAAGTTCTCAGTAATCAGATGGACAGGATGATCCATTCTGTGAATGTCAACTTTTTTCCCCCGGTCACCTCAGTGGTCGCTCAGTGGAGCTATGCACAAAGTGGTCATGGTTACTGGATAGCAGAGTACACAGCTAACTGTATAGCAAAGGTCATTGCTTTGCCCCTAGTAATGGGATATGCTGGCTACCTGGTGGCAAGCTGATTATTTTGGACCCTTCCCATAATAGAGGAGGCATCTCTTAGTCTTCACAGTGATAAACAAGTATTCTGCATATGTATTTTATTTCTCTGCCTGTATTACTTCTTTCAGCAATACCATTCATTGCAGAATGCCTTAGCCATCATCATTTTATTCCATACAACATTGCCCCTAACGAGGGGACCCCTTTACAGCAGAGGAAGTATGGTAATAGGCTCAGAACAACAAAATTCGCTCACCATATGTGTCAACAGTGGAAACAGCTGGCTTTGACAGAATGGTGGTATGACTTGCTGAAGCTCAGGCACAGCACCAACTGGGAGACAAGTGGTGATAAGCCAGTGCACGTGAATAATAATCTTCTATTTTCTTCCCTATGTTTATTTACTCTCAAAATAATCCTCTTCCGTAACTGAGCTCTGTATTTCTAATTATATGGACATCTCCATCTCAAACTCAACAGGTCCAAAACTGAATTTCTTATCTTCCCTATCACAAAAGTTGTTTCTTTTCAGTATTCCTCCTGGCCTCAGTTTATGAAACCATCATTTGCCCAGTCATCCAAACCAGAAGTGTAGAGGTTATCCTAGACTTCTTACCTTTCATGAGCTCCTGTGTGTAATCTCTTATCTGGTTCTATGAATTCTGCTTCCAAAGTATCTCCCAAATGTGACATTTCTCTCACTTCTCATTGCAGCATCTCATCGTGCTTATCTCTACTACATTTGTGGAATCCTTCTAATTGGTCTCTTTGTCTCTGATCTCTTCGCCATCTCTATATAAATACCCAAGTGATGTTTCTAAAATACAAATTAAATCGCTTACTTACCTGAAACACGTTAGGGGCTCCCTGTTATCTATATCCCACATGATAGTCCCTTTTCCTAGGTTGCTCTTTTCTGGCTCAGCTACTTGGTAACAAGATTTTTGTCTTTTGATACTTGGCTCAAATATCTCCTTCTGAAGCCTCCCCTAACCTTCCTAGACACAGTTAGGCGCTTCCTTTTGATGTGCCCCCGTAGATCTTTTATATACTCAGTTGTCATGTTTTTGCAATTTATCTGAATGTCTGTCACGTCCACTAGATCTTGAGCCCTTAAAGAACAGGGACTTTGTTCTATTTATTAACACAGAGCCTCAGACATAGTATATGCTTAATGAGTATGTATTGCTTGTTGAATGAATGAATGATGAATCCTTATGACTGGGTATTGTAATGTTTCATTTTTATAAGGTTGCAGGGGATGAATGAGAAATTCTTCTTTGTGTGCTTTGTTCATCAATGGTGTTTAAACACTCTTCCATCTGACTGCTGCCGAGAATCCACAGTTAACAAAATCAACAAAATCTTGATATTTTTCACCTCTGTCTTACTCAAAGAATTCTGATTCTTACATCCCTTTCTTTCCTGTGTCCTACGGATCTTCACTCTCCTTGACCTCCTTTACAATCTCAACTTTGATTCTTACTAGGTCTTTGTATTTTAATTTCTCTCCCTGTTGTGATATTCAGAAAAACATTTCTGTAATGTTCTTTCTCTTTAAATTTTCTGGTTTAAAAAGAATATGAGATCATTTTAAGTGAATATATTACATTACCTATAAAGCCAAATTTTATATTGTTTTTGTTTTCTTTTTAAAATACCACTCATTTATTTATAAAATAAGTTATGATTATTATAAAGTGATCCTCAGTTCTGATCACTATTGTATTTGAAATTCTGTTCCTACTTGCTAACCTGTTGTTGTTTTATGACTAATATGGCCTACTTAACTATAAATAGTAACTAATTTGTAAAGAGTTCAAAACAATTAAGTTATTGAAATAAGTATTATAATTCTCTTTAAAAACAAAGTATGAGAGCAAAAATAGATATCTGAATTGTTATATATCACTGTTGTAAAAGGAAAAAGGAATATCATCCAGGTCTCCCAATCTAATCTTAAGTGTTTGTATATTTTGGAAAGTAAAACATGGAGGAACTCATAAAAAAAAAAAAAATGCATTCATCCCCTGCCTCCCAGAAGTTACTGATTTCTAAATACATTTTTGCTATGGTGTGAGCATTAGTTAATAAATCTGGGCCAGTGGGTACCATCATTCATTCATTCATTCATCTAATACATGTTTATTGAGTGCCTGTTATGTTCAGGGAATAGAGTATAGAGTCAAAGATTGAGAGTTCCATGAAGGAATTTTACCTTACACAATGCTTTGCAGACAATGGACACACAATAAACATGTATTAAATGAATGAGTATGTGAATTAAGAACTATAGAAAAATTGTAAAATCATACTTTCTTAGAATTTGTCCTCTTACTAAACAACAATTGTGAAGAGGCGTCTCCAGCTTCTATAAAATGCATTAGCTCTCATGCATCGTTATCGATTTAAAGTCTGACAAAGCAGACACTTCATGAGAACAGGGACATATCTTGTTCACTGTCATATCCCTTGCCCCCCTGGATTGTGTAAGCCTTCTTTTGTTGAATGCTTACTGTGTGCGAGTCATTGTTCTGAATGCTCTACAGGGATTTATACTTCTAAACCTCTCAAGAGTGCTAGGAGGAGGTAGTATCATGATTACCATTTTAAGGAAGAGGACACAGAGGCCCAGAAAGGCTAGGTTATTTGGCAAAGGTTATATAGCTAGTAAATGACAGAAGCAAGATTCAAAGCCAGATGGTTTGATACCAGAGTCCCATTTCTACACCACCACTGTGCCGCTTCCTAATAAATGAGTGTCAAATTAATAAAGGAATTCAATGTCAGAATAGGTTAACCTTTAAAATGGAATACCAATGTAGACCTTAATAAGAAAACCAAAAAAAAAAGATTGCTATGTTCTAATATTCTTGGTAAAGACTACTAATTCTCTCTACTCAGCTCATGTTCAGTGGATGCATTAATTTATGTGTTCAGACTAATATAAGATAGAATACTGCTGCCAAAGGAGTCTGGACTTGGAGTCAGATTTGAATACTGGCTCTGATATATATTTACTACATACGTGATCTTGAAAAATTTCTTTACTTCTCTAAGTCTCAATTTTCTCATCCATAAAATGGGAATAAAAATAGCTGTCACAAATGGCTGTGTCTTTTTAAAGAATTAAACAAGATAATATATGAAAAGTACCTGACACAAAAAAAGATGTTATTGTTTCTCTTCCCCTTTACCTCTTCTTCTCTTTCCTTTTCCCCCTTTCCTTCCCTCTTTGTACCTGCCATTAGCCACATGACCTTGTAAAAGTTACTCAACTCTTCCAGGATTTCTTTCCCTACCTATAAAATGAGTGGGCTAGTTATATTCAACATCCTTTGGCTCTATAATTCTATGATTCAGTGATTTCATAACTTAGTTTTTCTTGGTATCATAAAAATATAACTTATTGAGAGGTGATTTTGAAGTGAGGCTTCTCTGGTTAATGTGGCTGATTAAGTTGCTTTATTTTTTCCAAAAGATCCTATTACATAGAACTTGGTGTAGATGTATTTGGGTTAGATAGGATAAAAACTTGGTTTAGTATATAACTAGTTTCACAGCAACTATATATATTAACTGCATCTACCAGTAATCACCTGTTCCAAAAGATTTATGTCTCCTTTCCTTTCTCGTATTTAGGTACCACGCAGGAAGCCTGGAGGCTAAGTCAACAAATCGTGAAACTCTAGGTTTAATTCACACAGCAACGAAAGGGCTGATAAGAGCTATCGAAGATGGTGGAATAGATTCCGTGATGGAATGGGAAGTGGATGAAGTGCTGAACTGGACAAATACGCTGAACTTTGATGAGTAAATACATGTTGCTACTCTTGGGGAGCAAGGGCAGGCACCAATATTTTTCTTTCTAACATTTCCCACTCCCATGTGGAATCTTGGGGACACAAACATAATCTTCAAAAATATGGTATTTATTATTTGTCTAGAAAGAAAAGAAGAAATGAGGGAGAATTATTTAAGAAGGGATGATCTAAAAGTAGAAAAAAGAAAATTAGACTTTATGTGTTCTTTATTCTCAGACTTTATTCTTATGCCTTAGCCTAAATCTGCTTTACTTCTTATTGGGATTTAGAAACAAGGCTAAGAACATGAAATTAATAATGCAAAAAATTCCCTCAATCCGTATTCCCTAATCTTTCTGTGTGAGACATCAAAAAGTTCTAATTTTTCAATAACATACTATGATCCTTGAAGAACATTTTTAGGATTTTTTGTGATGGAAATTTTACAATATTTAATATAGCCATCAGGGAAATGCAAATCAAAACCACGATGAGATCCTACCTCAAACTCACAAAGATGGCTATAATTAAAAAGATAGTAACAAGTGTTGAAAAGGATGTGAGGAAATTGGAACCCTTATGTACTACTAGTGGGAATGTACCATGATATAGCCATTTGGGAAGACAGTCTGGCAGTTCCTCAAATGGTTTAACATAGAGTTGCCATATGATCCAGAAATTCCACTCCTCAGTGTATAAAGAGAAATGAAAACACATGTCCACGCAAAAAAATTGTACATGAATGTTCATAGCAGCATTATTTATAACAACAAAAAGTAGAAATAATCCAAATATTCATCAACTGATGAATGGATAGGTAAAATTGGTATGTCCATACAACGGAATATTGTTCAGCAATAGAAAGAGATGCTGATACATGCTACAGTGTTGATGAACCTGCTAAGTGAAAAGCCAGTCACAAAGGACCACATATTATATGATTCTATTTAAATGAAATGTCCAGAATAGGCAAATCTATAAGACAGAAAGTAGATTAGTGCTTGCCTCGGGCTGGGAGATTTGTGGGGATTGAGAGGTGTTGTCCGAGGGACGTGGAGGTTTATTTTTGGAGTAATGAAATGTTCTAAAATTGATTGTGGTTAAAGATGCACAACTCTATGAATACACTAAAAGCCACTGGATTGTACCCTTTCACTGGGTAAACTGTATGGTATGTGAATTATATCTCAATAAATCATTAAAAAATATTCAATATTTACTCAGCGACAGTAATGAATGTGAATAGTGCATGGATGAAGAGGCAGAAAAATTAAAACGAAGACAGTGTAAGTAAAGAAACATAAGGAAGAAATTAGGAAGAGGGAGATAAGAAAATGGGAAAGGAAAAATTAAGTTGGTTGTCATTGAACAGTAGAACAGGAAAAAGAGAGGCCAGAGGAAGCAGAGAGGAGAATAATGAGAAAAGGAAAGATAAGAGAAAAGAATAAAAAAAGGGAAGGAATGACTAAGAAAATAGGAAAACAAGAATAAAAGAAAAAAAGATATTGATGGAAGGGATATATTAGAAAATAAAAACAGAAAGATAAAATATAAGGAACTAATTATCTATGGTAGATGCTTTAAAATATTTTGTAATAAATAAATAGTAAAAAGAGATTATTATGATTCAATAACCCCAGTATCTTGTCCATAGTATTGGGATTCCTTATAGAGAGCACATTTCTGTTTTCTGGGGGCACTGATTAAAATACAGGTGATAATAATGAGGAAAGAAATGGGATCCAAAGAAAGGAACTATAATGCTGTACACTTATGTCATTTCCTAAGAGTAAAAAGTGCTAGGGAGGGGGGCTGGCCCCATGGCCTAGTGGTTAAGTTTGGCGCACACTGCTTCAGCGGTGTGGGTTTGTGGGTTCGGATCCTGAGTGCAGACATACACCGCTTGTCAGCCATGCTTTGGTGACAGCCCACATACAAAATAGAGGAAGATTGGCATGGATGTTAGCTCAGGGTGAATCTTCCTCAGGGAAAAAAAAAATTGCTAGAGAGAGAGCTGTAGGAGAAGTCCATTTGAATGAGCTTCTGAGGGCAGGATAAAAAAATCTCTTAGGTGAGCTTTTGAAATCCTGCTCTGCTTTTCCCTTTTACAGTTGGCTAATTCAAGCAAAGGGCCACCAAGCTTTAGTGGAAGATTACAAAAAAGTCTACACCCAATGTCCTATCACTACTGGAATACAAAAAGAATAAAAACAATTGAGGTCAAAGGGAAGAAATAAACAGGCATCTCAGTCTACATAATACTTTCTCCAATATCATCCCCTAACACGCTTCTCTGATGGGTGATGAAGATTCCTAATGGCTTCCCTCTGTGGGAAAAAAGATAAAAACAGAATAAACTCATAAGACTTGAAGTGGTCTTTTTGTATCAGACACTCTACATGGAGTGGGATGAGTATACCTAGCTTTGATATGGTGAGACTAACTCTCCATTCCAAAATGAAAATTTCCATTTTTGAAAATGCAGATGCCTTATGTTTCCAAATTATGTACAACTTCTATCAGTTCATTCTCTGAGTTGGGTATAAGTGTAATTTGGCACCAACTTGGAATTCTTAGAGAGTGAGTCTTCCTTTTGAGCCCTGGACAATAAAAATTTCAAATGGAATCCAGCATGATTGTTTGAGAATATTTCAGTTCCATTACTGACCACAAGCTACTGATTATCTCAGCAAAACCACACTTTGCAAAGACCCTCCCCTAGCTGACTACGGATATTAGGTGTAAGCACCTTCTTCCTAGTACATTTACAGTCTCCGCAGTCTACTTTCCTGTTAGGTCTTCATAGTTGTCAGGTTATTTGTAAATGGTTTGATGACACCTTGTTTGATGAGAATTTCAGAATCTAATATTTTTCCCTTCGGGAGAATTGGTAGCCACTAATTCCTTGGGAGTATCCTTCAAAATCTATAGACAGTTTTTGATAGTCAGACAATCACAGTGAACACACACACAATCACAATATTCACAATAAATGTGTTGAATACTGATATTGAGTGATACAAACCAGTTTCTTCCCAAAAGGCTTTTGTGCTAGCCCCTGGTTGTGACAGATGGACACTCTCCTGGGAAGAAGCCACGCACATCTTCAGATGCACACTGCAACAATAGCAACTGAGTACAATGTTATTATAATTTAGAAGAATGGATAGAGCCAACTTTACTCTTGGATCAAGGACACAGATGAGTACTATTACAAATTCTGTGCCATCCAGAGATGCGTTGCTGCAGGCAACATAGAATGTAAAACAATCCCTGCGTCACCATCATGAGTCACCACAACGCCACATGATGGCCACTGTGACTGTTGCTGGCATTCATCCTGCTGGATTTTCAGGGGCATATTCTCTATCAAGATGGATGTTCCTCTTCCAGGATCTTCATACTTTTCAAACTGGAAGTGAATTTGGACATAACCTGTTAAGTGATCAGCAGCTGGGATATCCTAAATAATTTCCTGATATTCTATTAACTCTGTTGGTGAGAGCTCTTTGCCTTTGTGTCTTATGGGTTGTTTCTGTTATCTGAAGCTGCTCCTTTGATTTCTAAGACATATAGTTACATGGCCTCTCTTGCTAGTGACTTTTCCTAGACCGATAAATGTTAAATTTGTATTCCTCTGGGATTCATTGTAGATTCTACAAACACTTTATTCTGCAATTATCTAAAGAAATTCCAAAACTTTCTTAGTGAGAAAGACAGATGAGCTCTATGATATAAGCAGCATGGTAACACTATCATCAGACTGTTGCTTCTATTTGTAAAACTTAGATACCAGTTACTGCTGGTATGTTCTTTATAAGTTCTTTTTAAATAATTGAATACATTCATGTCCTAATCCCAGGTAAAGCAGGGGTCAATGAGCAGCTGTAATATATAGCATATGCTTTTGCCAACACTGTCAGGACTTAGTGTTACCAAACCAGGTTCCTGTTTGCCCACCACCCAGAAAGCCAAACACCAAGACGATGAGATTGCAGCAGAGAGAGAGTTTAATCACAGGGCAGCCATGTGAGGAAGCGAGAGCATGAGTCTCAAATCCGCTTCGCCAAATATGGGGGGCTCAGGGATATTTATGTGATAGGGGGGCAAAGTGGTCTGAAATGTGGAGACGTGATTGGAGGTGACGAGAGGTGAGGTAATTGACGATCTGCCTAAATTTAAGGTCAAGCCAGACTGAATTGTCTACTAAGAGATCCTGGAAGGGATTTACACTGCCTGCTGTTAACCTGCATCTTTTCATTTAACAGAGACCCAGCAGTATCCCATTTAAGGCCTGTAGGGAAGGAAGAAAATTTCCTCTTCTCATTCTACGTCCTTCTGGCTGGTCTGTGAATTAAATTGACATGAGACAGAATAACAGGAGAAAATCAAACAAAGCTTTATAATATGTGTACATGGGAGAAACCCAGGAAAACTGGGTAATTCACCAGAATGGCTGAGCTGCCAGCTTAAATACCATCTTCAGCTAAAGACAAAGGAGGATGTTGGGGGTAGCGGTTTGGGGCTTCAAATGGGAGGAAGGCAATTCACATAGAAATGGAAAAGCAAATGTTTGGTTTATAAGAATGGGCTTAACAAAGACCCTCACAGTGTATGGTGATGGCCTGTCGTGGGGACAGGCACTTTGTCTTAAATTTCTTTTAGGCAATTAGAGGGGAGGTCAAAGTTTCTTTCAGAGTCTTTTGTTCTTGAAAATAACCAAGGCAAAGAGATATATTTTGAGGTGGCCAATTCTGATCCCCCACAGGGCATAGAATAAAGTTCTTAAAGCAACAAGAGGTAGCAGTAACAAGAAGGAATCAACTTTAGACACAGTACAGTCATGCGTTCCTTAATGATAGGGATACATTTGGGAAATGCATTTGTTAAGTGATTTTGTCATTGCGTGAACATCATAGAGTGTACTGAAAGGGAACAAAATTTGCCACCCCAAAATGTGTCCCTTTAACATGAGGATTATTTTAGGCTGATTATTTTTAAGAAACAAGACTCAGAAAGTTTTTCTTGCTACTTCCCCCTTAACTGCCTAAAAGAATTCAGATTAAAAAACCTGTCTCAGGAAGTGAGCTGTCACCTCAACATAGTGTAAACTAGGTGGTGGACAGGGAGGAACCTAGAAAAGCCTGTTTTGGGGGCTCCCTTCTGTGTTCTTTTGTTTCTGTGGGGCCAAACTCTTGTTTTGCAAACATTTGCTCCTTTCACCTACTGGTGAATTGCCTTCCTCGCCTTTGAAATCCCTGACTCTCCCCACCCCAACATCTTCTTTTGTCTTTACCTGAGGATAGTATTTAAGGTGAGGGCTTTGGCCATTTTGGCGAGTTATTTGGTTTTCCTGGGTTTCTCCTATGTATACCTGTAAACTTTTGTTTGTTTTTCTCCTGTTAATCTGTCTCATGTCAACTTAATTCTTAGACCAGCCAGAAGAACCCGAAAGGGTAGAGGAAAATTTCTTCCTCCCCCACAGTACTTACACAAACCTAAATAGTGTAGCCTATTACACACCTGGGCTAGATGGTACTACTCTCATGGGACCACCATGGTATATGCAGTCTGTCACTGACCAAAACGTCTTTATGCAGCACATGACTTACTTTATTACCATTAAATACTGTTGGATAATATATACCTTCCTATAACAAAGAACTTCACAGAGTTCACAAAAGTAATTCAAATGAAATAAATAAATACTTGGGAAATCAGTGTTTTCTGAATTATATGGCAATTCTAATCCTCCTCGACTTCTCTCTGCCAGCTCTCTTTCAGCACTTGCTGTGACCAAGCCTTTCTGTGATTTCTTGAGAGCAGCTGAAAAGAAAAGAGGCTTGGGAAAGGGGGATACAAAGCTGAAAATGAAATGGAATAAGTTACAGGACCTGCGTCTTGGAGCTTTCCTTCATCTTTGTAGCTCATCATACCTTGTTCTTCCCTGTTTTACCTCTTCGCAGGCTACCCTTGTCTCCCTATTTCAGTCTTTGTTTAGGGAACTGAGGTGGCAGCTGCATGTGCCTTCCTTGAATGTAATCTCAGGTTTTACTGGCCACAGCAAAGACAGCACTGTTGCTCTAATAAGATCATAAACCACACACTTTAAATCTCCGTTGGCATGTCAGAGACAGTAGATCTGGCAGTCCAGAACCAAGGGGAGAGTTTGGTGTTGCTGCTGTTGTTCTCCTCTCTCAGAAGATACTCAGCTGAGGACATGATCTTGCAGGAATGGAACAGGATAAAATAATGGGAGGTATGCTGGAGGGAGCCCAAAGGGCACTAATATGGTTGATGGTGGGCACACTTTTACGCCTCCTCCAACACCCTGTCCTAGGGATGGCCTTAGGCACATGACAGCTACTTGCAGCTGGGAGAGTCATGAGAACTTTAAACATTTCGACTAGTGAATTTGTCCCCATTAATCTAAGATTTCATAAAGAAAGTGAATTTTAGAAGTTGTCTAAGCATATACTGATGAATCAATTTATTACTTATTAATAAATCAATTTAATGAGTGCCCATATAATGTGCTTAGGTATATTGCCAACTGGAAGGAAATTGCTACAAGCAACTCTTCAGATAACTTCAAAAGTAGGTGATTTTTAGCGATATTTTATGGAAAGCTCTTTTGAACAAAAACGATACACTAATGATACACTCCACACATGTACACCTTTCTAAGTACTTGCACTGTATGTAGACACAGATGAATTTGCCAAGTCACTTTTACCTTTATATGTAAGATGGTTATTTGGGAATAGAAGGAAATTTTCTATTTTACTTAGGGTTAGATAAAATGGTTTTTTAAAAAATGAATCCTCTTTTTTAAAAAGTTGTACATCTCATGGTTTCAGTAATAATTTTCAATGAGCAAACTTCACTCAGCAAAACAAATGCCTCAAAATATTACAAATATTTTTTGGGCTTTATGCCACTATTGTCCTGCCAGTGGTCCACAATCCCGAGAAGCTGAAAGTGACAGCATGTTGAAGAAGCACATCATTGAAACCCAGAAATATCAAGAATTCTAACATGGCCAAAGCCTAACTGTGGTTATTGTACACTCTGAGCGTGTCTGAGTTCTGTCCCGCGAACATCGTGAGAGGCAGTAAAGCAGAGAGGTTACACTTGTGGAGACAGGGTTCAGACTGCCTGGTTTTGATTTTTGGCTCTTTTTACCGGCGGTGCAATCTTGCGCAAGTTACCAGCTTAGTTTCTCATCTGTAAAATGAGACTAACAATAGTACCTAGCTCATAGGTTGTTGTGGGGTAGTAAGAGCTAATACATGTAAAGAGCTTCGACTGGTACCTGGCATCTAATATGTATTCTATAAATGTTAGCTAGCATTAGCCTTAACCTATCCACTTATTTCCCATTCATTGCCACCACCACAATCCAAGCTGCCCTCATCCCTCTGCAGGCTTCTGCAACAGCCTCCAAACTGATTCCCATGGTGCATTCCCCACACAACAGATGGCCATCTTTCACAAATTTACATCAGCACAATTAAAACGCTTATTTAACAAACTCTTCTTTAGGAATTCCTGTGTGGAAGTGCTGTTTTAAAGTGCTTTATAAAATTAACTCATTTGATCTTCAGAACAACCCAACGAGACAGGTTCTATTATCGGCATTTTACAGATGAGCAAACAAAGGAATGCCCAGTGACCTGCTCAAGGTCACACAGTCATTTCCTGTGAGGGCCAGCATTTGAATTGAGGCAGGCTAGCTCCAGAACCCTTGCTATTAGCCATGACTACCTCTGCTGCCTTTCGTAGTTTTCTACTGCACTTGGAATAAAATCCTAATTTTATCACGGCTCTGGCTCTGGCCTACCTTTCCACCCTTATCATGTCCCACTCTCCGCCCCTCACTCACAACCCTGCAGCACTGGCCTCTTGCCTGTTCTAGAACACACTCTGTGGTTTCCACTTCCGGGATTTAGTGGAATTGATGGCCTTCTAGACAAGTTTTAGGTAACAAGTTTTAGATCTTCACTTGGGGGCAGGGAGTTGTCTGTTTTGTTCACTACTGAATCCCCAAGGTGTAGCATATAATAGGTTCTCAATGGCAGATATAAAAGAATATAAAGGAATGGCAAGTACAAAAACGGAAGTGGAGAATATAAATATAAATATAAAAAATGGTAATTGGAAGGAACCTAAGAGCAAGTGAAAATTATTTTAAGCAGTGGAGATCTGCATTATAACTGAAGTCAGTGGAAAGGGATTCATTGAGGATGTTGGCACGAGAAGAGGAGAGCATGTGTGCTGCTGCTTCTAGAAGCATGAGGAAATCAAATCCAGAGATTGGAAACTTTAGCTCTAGTGAGAGAAAAGGTTTCTCTTTATTTGTGAATAAAGAACTGTTAGCTAATAATTATGGAGCACTAACTAAATGCTAAGTTCTTTATGTGCACCAGCACAATTAATTCTCACAAAAATATGATGAGGTGTGTGCTATTATTATTCCCAGTTAATGGATGAGGACACTGAGACTTAGGTTAAGCAACTTGCCACAAATTACACAGCTAGTTAGTAGTAGATCAAACTTCAAACCCAAGTCCTACTCAGCCTTTTGTAGAGATGGACAAGGAAAGATGATAGTGAAAAGCAGGATGAACTCAGACATTTGGGACATTTATGGTTTCAGTTAAATAAGATATAAAGATAATTGCTGTAAGAGTGGTGAAAAGGAATGTGGAATAGACCTTATCTGGCATCTAGTAGTATATGGAATGAGTCTGCATCTTATCACATCTGGCATCTTTCTAAACATTTCTAAACATTTGTCACTCCTCCCTAGGTTTCAGGTTTGATCAAGCACAGAAAAACATAGATGACTATGAAGATCTATCAGAGGATGAAATGGAAACATCAGCAGATACTTCACATAGAAATAGTTTTGATGAGCCAAATTTTACCAGACTAACACCTGATTCCACTTATGGAACATAGAATATTTTCTTTTCTCTTCTGAGCTATAGCCCTTCAAGCCCTGATTCCATCAGTTACAGTCAAGGGATAGATTATTCTGACTGAATGACTTGTATATTCTTGGCACAGAATCTACCCCAATTAAGTAAGGAAGATTATACAGAAATAGAACATTGGACTGAATACAATGGTCATGGAAAATGTAGAAATTACTCCTGGTATTCTGAGAAACTGATGTTCTAACAATCACACTTAAATAAAGGTATTATACTTAGGTGCAAAAAAATCTTCAGATGGATTTTTTTTCCCTTTATTTGAAGCATTCTATATTTGTGCATTTGTATCAGGCAGAGCTCTTTCTTCATTAAAAAAGCATGTAGCAAGTTCTTTTATTAGGAAAGCAAAAGGCTTACTAGAAGCCTCAGCCCGTCACCTTAGG